TCTGTCTCCGGCTCAATATCTTAGCCTTCACCATTTTGGTCTTTAACATCATCACCTTCCGCTTCTTCTTTAGTTATCGAGAACTCGGATCCGGAACTAGAAGAGTCGCTAGCATCGAGCTGGACCGTGAGACCCCTTTTGGCAGTTAACTCCAGCTCACAGGCCTTAGCGATTTCGGCATCAAAGTCAATGACGCCCATTTTGGCCTCTTCTAAGTTATTCTCCTCATGCTATACATAGCATATAACGAATAAAGCCGCTCGGTGCTAGAGTTCTTCTTTAAGTCAGTCAACCTCGGCAGAAAGGTTATCTCGCGCGGATCTGGTAGCCCGGAGGCTAACATCAAGGTCGCGGACAGTGGAGCAAAACACTCTATTGTGTTCGATGGTCCTCTTATGCTTATCCTCCAACCGGGCATACTTCGCCTCGGCAGCAGTAACTTCTTCAGTTTTGGAGTTTAAGGTTGTCTCCAAATTATTCAATCTTTCTGCAGAAGCAGCCTCACGATCGGATGCAGCAAGAACAACATTATGGACTTCAACCCAATTGGCCCTAGTTTCTTCAAATTGTGCCCTTAACGGGCAACCTCCTAGTTAAGGGTCACTACTTCTTGCTCGTTTTGTGGAAACCGAGCCTCCAACTTAATGGGCTCAGCAGCTCGCGCTTCTAGTTCTGAAAGGCGAGCAGCAGTCTGATCTCATTCGGCCAAAAGTTGATCCCGCTCGGAGGTAAGTTTCTCCTTATCACGAATCAGCCTTTGAAGGCCCTCGAATGTAAGGAATTTGGCCTGCAAAACAAAAATGCAAACTCAAAACCCTGCCATAATAAAGATAGAAGAAACAACAAAGGAAACAAAGGTCATACCACTGAAGCGTTGTGCATGGCATTGTTCAACAAACACTCTCCCGAGAGAGTTGTATTTTATCCCTATCTTTGTTTGAAGCCAAAGGCTTTAGATAATTAGCAAGTTCCACTGGCCAGGATAATAGATGGCATCCGGTAGAGACCGAGAGGGTGACGCTCCTCCTCCTTTGGGGACTTCGGAGGGAGAAACATAATTTTGCCCCAAACTCCCATGAACCAGGGACTGGGGAAGAGGGACATTCTCAGCAAGCCTTGCAAGAAGTACATGCTTTACTAATAGGGGCATAGTAATAGTTGTTTGCTGGGTTGGTTTTGCTCTCTACCTTCTCACGGTGGGATGGAAACAAGAGAGGTCAACTGGAGTGGAAGCCAAAGGACTCTTCTCAAGCAATTGCGGACAGTAGAGATGATGTAGCAGTTGCTGGTCGCGAAGGTAGACTTGGTGAAAAGGGGGATAAAGCTGATGGCATTGTAGGTTGAGAGGCGGTTGCGGCAAATGCAGTGCTAGTTGTTGGTTGCTCGTCAATCGAAGACGAAAGAGACCCTGTACTCATCCTCACGGTACTAGATACAGTGACTGGGACTCGAAAATGGGAGTTAGCATTTTCCACCATATCATACTCCCAAGAGCGCCGAGGCATAGTCCTCGGTTGGTATAACTAACTCAATAGATTGAGCATGCTGTTGAGTTGATGAATGTCATTGTCTTCTATGTAGAGAAGCCCCCTCATCACTGGCTCCTCCATCATCATCGATCACCATGGTCTCTGTGACCGGCTCGGGCACGACACTCATCACCGCAACATCCGGGATGGCTCGGGCGTCGCATTCCTTGTTTTCTCTAGTCGCAAAGGAGCGTCGTCTTTTTTGTTGCTCCAGCCGGGGACTCCAAGAAGAAGCACTTGCACCAGAAGCAAGCCTAGAGACACTTGTTCGGGCACAATCCTCCTACAGGTCAGCAGAATTAGCCAAAACGTCCTCCTCGGGAATGACAACTAAGTCCTGGGGTAGACCTGAGTTCAACAAGAGTAGAAGGTTAATCAGTTTTCTTATACGAAAGGAAAAAACAAGATGAGTTCAACCTACCATGATCTTTGGCCTTCCACCCATATTTAAGGGCTAGTTCTTTCTACATATGGGTCTTGGGCATAGTGACATCAAAATCTTATGGACCCATTGGTCCAAGCCTTCAATCCTCGGTGGAGTCCACTGAATTGCTGAAATAAGTGAAAGAAGAGGATCGGTAACAACATGGGGTGATCTTTAACTAGAAGAAGAGACAAACGATGAACTTACCCTATATATAGTAGTACACTTACCCTATATTGTGGGTTATTAGTTAAGGTTTGTTAAATAAAGTTACGTGTAATTACTTTTCAAATAGCCTAATCGTGTATATATGCAGGAACAAAGGTTAATTTTCATTATGGCATTCAATAACTTTCTTTGGTTCGAAGTTGAGATTTTTTTTTTTTTTTTTTTTTTTTTTGTGGGTTTCCGGAGCGATAGAGCTAATGTAATGTATGTATAGGGTAAAATATATTCATATTTAATGATCGCATGAGAAAGAAACACGGGGAGCCGAAGACAGAAGACAGTCGGGCCCAAAGGCAATAATATCGCTTGTTGTCGGAGAGAATAATATTTATAAAGGCAAAATAAATGTCTGTCGGTCGGTAGTATTTAATGAAGAATATTCTACAGCATTAAGTGCATGGTCTGTTACAGATACTATGGCATTCACTGCCTATCGTTACACATTCTTCAATGGCCCTCATAATTGTCATTTAAGAGGGGTTTGATCCTAGGACCTTGTTCCCTAGGTGCAACTATAAATAGTGAGCTCTACCATCATTGTAAGATAGACAAATTTTCTGACAAGCATACAATATACTTTGTTCAAAGCTAAATAGCATTTTACTTTCTTGCGTATTTATATTGCTCTTACTACTTCCGGAAGCTCTACTCCCGGGCTCAAGATCTCTACTGTCCTTCTCGATTTCAACGTTAATTCTTATATTTTTGTCTAATTTATTTATCATTTTAGGATCAAATCGACTCACTTGTCTATAAATCACGTATAAATTCAACTGTATCATTTTACGGGTAAACAATGTCAAGTCACCCCAACAAAAGTAATGCTAGCTTTTATTCACGGGCGTAAACACACCAACAATAAATAAAAAAATAACCAGCCAGGAAGGAAAAGTAAACATCGGTGACTTAAAGAAACGATATACACGTTGTGGAAGTTTGGGGTTATGGTGTCTATGTACAAAAAATGTAGATAAGTTTAGTTTTCAAGAAAATGATATGAGAGATGAAAATGTAAGAAATATAATTAAAATTGAATTCAAATATGAAGTTCAGAATTGATCATGTTGTACTTAAGATAATGTGAAGATTTGATAATTGAATATGGTAAACAGGGACTACGCAGACCTAATATTATATGGACGTAAATTGTTTCGAAACATCTACAATCTTTTAAAAAACACTGTAAAGATAACTCTCATTGTCTGCTTAGCCCTTTCTCTTCCATTATCCCTCACTGTAATTAGAAAAAAAGTAATAGAAAATGTGAAAGTAGCCAAAAACAAAACGTGGTGGAAATAGATATGATCCATATCCGGCAATACCAACAAATTAGGATAAAGACGTGTTGTCACGAGTCTTTTCTATTCGATTAGAAACTTCTATATTAGTATAATGAATAATTGTGAGATTTTAGGAAGCACTTATAGAAAACTCATGTGGGTATTAAAAGAAATTATTTGATATTGAATAAATTAAATGTGCTTGAACAAAATGGAATATAACACGTATGACATATATCCTATTCCAACAAATTTGATGATTGATTGACCAATAATAGCACTAAACATGTCGTTTGGAATGAATCAATTGGGATATTTCTAGGAAGCTTCGAAGAGTTGTACGATCACTAAAAGGGTACAGTTGGTTGGATCACATATTCACTTCTGCCTTCACGTTAAAATCAGAAAGGAAACTCAAACGCCATTCTTATCCTATCCTATAAGTTCATGTACATTTTACACGCTTCCAATTGAAAAGATAAATGGTAGGATGTTTCATTTTGCAAATACTCAAGTTGCGTTTGTGATAATTGCCTGTTTCACTTATCAGCAGCTACACCTATTATTGTAGTCTAGCTGCACACATAGTTACTATTTGATGTCATTTTCATGTATTGGGATCGCACAGGTTATAAAAATACCCTCTGAACTATGGAGCACTTATTTGGTTCATCATCGCTCGCATATCATATTTGATTTAACTAATGTTTCCACATAATCTTAAGATTATTAAAAAAAAAAAAGTGCACAAAATAAAATTATCATGTCAGAAGTGGAAACCAGACTTCTCTATATCATGTCTCACCATCTCGTCAACGTTTCTACTTTGATAAGAGCTAAGAATACAGATGAAAATAGAGAGCAGACAAAAAAAGCAGCGTATAAGGTAGGTAACTTACCTCAATGCAAACATTAATAGTTGATTCCACAACTAAAACCCATAACTCACAGGAAGACAATTTTACCATTACTCCAAAACTGCCCTTCAATTACAAGTACGTATACACGATCGGGTTTAGGGGGCCGAAAGGGGGTTCAACAGAACCCCCTTCGCTGAAAAATTACACTGTATATAAGGCAAAATCTGTTTTTCACCTCTATATATCCTGCCTCTGCCACTACATATACATATATTATTTTTTGTACTAATTTAAATCCAATAATGTAGAGCAATAAAAAGGAGCTACACTCCCAACCAAAGATTTCTCAATTCCCAAACCTCAAACTCTAAACTCGTAACTGAAAATGAAGTAACCTCGCTCATCGAACAGCCTCTGGCAACACATAAAGTACAGGTTCATATGCAAACACACTTTTATGAGGCCCGAGGACCAATGATAAGAGTATACAGTTTGACCGTGGACAATTTTATTCTTTTAATACTATCTTGCATTTTATCTTAAATCTCAGGTTATCAAAAGTTTTTTCCATTTCTACAGAACTGTAGTTCTCTCTTAATGTAATTTCAAGCCAAATATTTTGATAGTTCACATTCAAAAACAGATACAATAATAAAATACCGTAACATGAGCCAAATAATACGTTCGACATGCAAGCACCCAGAACTATCACATTTCACAGATTCCAAATAATTCGCATTTAACTAGTTCACATAGAAACTGAATACATGAAGTAAATACCACACAATTCCAAAAACAGATAACAAAATTCCATTACATGGACCGATGCTAGTAAACCATCATCTAATGTTTCACCATTCCCGCACTAGCAGCAAGCAGGAATTCCGATAGAAAATTGCACTTCCCTGAGGTGTCAGTAGGCCATGTCTTCCTGCGAGTCCAAGAAGTCAAACAATTGCGGCAATATTATCAAATGAGAAGTTAATATTACCTACATAGCATGTGGATCTTATTGCAACCTTACCAGAGCAACACAAGCAGAAGCATACCCTTCATCATCAATAGTCATATTCACGAGAATGTGACCTATCTGAACGTCTATGATCCCGGTCCTTTTCTTTTGCCTCAGATGCCCCGTGGTCATAAGCATAATTATCCTCCTCCATTTGATCATACCGATCATCACCACGACTAGCATCTTTATAGCGATCATCACCAGCTTGAGCATCCGGATTCTCATAGTCTCCTCGACCTTGATGATGATCATAATGGTCATAACGTCCATGATCATCTTCAGGTTCTGCATGATCATAGTTCCTTTCTCTGTCACCATGCCTTTCCCGCTCATGTTTTGATTCACCATGCTCATAATCATATTCTATATCACGAGAACGCCCACGACCCTGGTCCACCTCACCTTCATAGTCCTTACCCCTTTCCCTATCCCTCTCACGGTGGCGATCTCGCTCACGGTCCCTATCTTTGCCCCGTTCGCGGTCACGTGTCCTGTCACGTTCACGATCTCGATCGCGGTCTCGTCCACGATCTCTTTCTCTATCCCTAGTTCTCTCGCGTTCTCTATGATGTTTGTCATCTCTGTCACGTTCCCTTGGCCTATCATGTGAACGTTCACGAGATTTTTCTCTCTCTCTATCTCGCACCCTATCACGGGACTTCTCCCGATCCCTGATAATATAGAAAATAACAACATAGCGTCAGACGCTAAACACATATCAGCATTAACTTCACATTTTGTAAACTAAACAGGGTTGTAAATCAGACAATTCATCCTTGGAAAAGTAGACATGTCTTGAATGTCAGATTGAGAGAAAATAACCCAAAGCACGTATAACTAAAAATGCATAGGTTACCTTTCTCTGTCATCTCGTACTCTTGGTTCTACGGAGCGAGATGCCGCCCTTCCAATCTGAACTACCTCTCTGCAAAATTAAAGGGGCATAGAGTCAGTGATAATTAAAGATCCATGTAAAAATTGAAGGCAATAACTTACCAAGAAAGATTGATGAATGTTCCACAAGTTTTCACATGACAATCATACCAGTACATCTGAGCATGAAAACTACTTTTCGGACATTTTATGAGTGATCATCATGCTGAATGCCAAACAATAATAACTTCCAATTGTAGACAAGAGTTCATGCATAGATGCTCCGGACAGCACTCTTTTTCAACCAAAAATAGAGCACATAAACCGACGGCAGCATCTATACATCCCAAAAGACAAGTTGAAATTCAGAAGCAGTGTATGCCAACTACAAAAAGCAGTGTATGCCCACTACAAAAAGCAGTCTATGCCAACTACATGCACACATGCATAGTTGTCTCTAGGAAATTAGATTTTTTTTGGGTACATCAAATTAGAATTATATGCAACAACAGCAACAAAAAATTAAACTCAAGCAGAGAACAGGAGACATTGCATTGCAATTTTTACTCCATAGACAATGGCAGCCAGTATTGCACTGAAGTACAGCTACATCAATGTCCCTTTTAGCACTACGCATATGTACATACGACTAACACTCTAAAAGCTAATCGAGTACCTATTAACATCTTCAGTTCCAACTCTTGTTGTTCCAAGTCCACCGCCAAGTCTACGGGGACGCCAATTGGGGACTGTTCTCCCACGTTCAACATCAACCAGAACTCTTCTATTATCAATCTTCTTTCCATCAGCTTGTTTATATGCAGCTGAAGTTATATCCAAGGAATTAGAAATGGAGGTGAGACAGAAAAAGATAAAAGAAAAATAGGAGTCAAGAGTAAAAGAAACCTTTCATATCCCGTGTATGCACATACTCAATGAAAGCATAACCCCTGGGTTTATTGTTTGTATTGTCCATAACCAAACGAACCTGAAACTCAAACAATTATGAAATTAACGCTACTAATAAGAATTATAATCATGTTTGATGCAGCGGTCAAAAAGTTATGCTTTTATCCGGTCAACACGATTAGGTACAGTAAGGTCCTAATGGCACGGCGGGCACTATGCCTAATTAGCCGTGCTCACCTTTGATTCATAGAGCTCCCAGGCGAGATGCATCACCATCACTGCTAGAGTTGCACAAGAACTGTGGCCTTATGTTTGCAATACATTCTAACTCCCCTTACCAGGGAACATTTTAATATAAAATAAATTATTATAGAAGTATAGTCAAATACCAGGTGTCTCCTGAAATGCTTGAAACTTTTTTGATAGCCTTTGAATCCAAAAGTAAAATCTTAGTAGCATAGATGGGATGTAAGAAGAATAAAGAAGAAGAGAACAAGGCTGATACTCCCACCAAATTTTTACCCAGCACAGGCAAGGATATCTCCAATGTTGCTTGGAATAAGAGGCCAAAGGTAAATTGCATCATTGCTCTGCTCATCTAGGTGTTCAACTTTGTTTCATGCAATGAAGATCGGGCTCGGAAATTGAATGGTTACATTTGGCAACTCAAGAAACAAAAAGTTACCAGAAATTTAAGATTTGCCCTTACCAGGAGAATACCTAGGAGTTGAACCTCATTACCTTTGTAGTTCTAGAAACTAATGGAATACCCAGAACACATAGTACTTGAAACTAATGATATCCAAACCAGGATAAAAGGAAAAGTCATCAAACTGATGCTCAATAACTGAAGCCGTTGTTACCTGAGTCATAAGGACATTCTTCGCAATCTGACCCTTATTTTTCAAAGCAAGGAAATGCTAGTAACTTCACAACAAATTTTCATGAATGTCAGAGTGCAGCATGCACCTCGAAGCACCATGGAAGAGTGCTAGCAGTTCAAACAACAATTCATTTCTTAACTGCAGCCTGAAGAGGTGCACCCAGAGGCACAATTGAAAGAAAAAGCTCTCCTGATAAAATGTGGATTTGCAAACTTGTAGCATAAGCCATCTCTTATTTTATTTTAATTTTTGAGAGCAGTAAGGAAATTCAAAGGTAATCAGTTTATTATTTAGCAGATAACTGCCAAATTCAGTAACTTTTTATCAAATAACTAAAGTGCAATCCTACTAAAAAATGCATCGCATGCGCCTTCAGTGCAAGCTTGAAGCATTAGCAAGGTAATCCGTGGTACTTTTTTTAGACGCTCCACCCTTTTTTTGAAGGACTTGATCTAGAAAGACAACATTTGAAATAGCTTACAACCTACAACCCCACATTCTTTAACATTAGCTGATCAAAATCTGTTTTGAGAAAAAATGCTAAAATTGTAAGATGTATATTGCTTTTCAGAAAGCAAAAAGTTGTGAAAAAATCAACTTGAGAAATGACTGGATCATAGCAGGAAGTACATGCCACAATAACAGTACACATCTTACCAACCAAAATCCAGTAACCTGAGCCCCACAAAGGGATGCTCTATAATACCTACCCGCTTGATTGGACCAAAAGCCTCAAATTCACGTTTAACTCTGCTTTCTGTTGTCTCATAATTCTGAAAATGAGAAAGACAATCAACAAAAGTAATTAAGAAGATATTCACAGGTAACAGCAAAAATGATCTAAAAAGTTCTTTACTCACAAGTCTAGCAACAAAGAGTGTCTTGTATGGATCTCCAGTAACATTTGGGTCGCTGCTAGGATCATCTGCTCGACAGAAAAACAACAATTCATTTCATTTTTTACCATAAAATATGACTTTCAAACAATCAGAAAACCAAAAACTCTTAGGCATTTAATACATTTCTCAAGCTCCTCAGCAGCCTTTTTAGCACCTTCCTCCAGCCGTATCTTGTGGATCCTAGCTTTTCGTTGAGCCTGCATGTAATAAAAAAGCAATTTATGTGCATAAAGAAAGATACACAAAGATGCACCATAGGTTGTAATTGCATAACTGCACATCCTATGCTACATCTTATAATTTATCTCTGGAATCAAGAAACTCTTCAAAACCGGGATCCCAAGCTCCTCACTAATAACAGAACATGGATAATTGCACATTGTTAATCTTTGTTGAAGCAGTTAAAAAGGAGGCAACAAAACCAGAATGGGGATCCAATAATTCATTTAAACATATGGACCCACACAAAAAAAAAAAAAAAAAATGAATTGCAGAATGTAAAATAATCGTACCGGGGTCTCAACCTCAGGGACCGGTGGAGCATATTCTGGATCACCAGGCTGAGCAAAGTTACCAACAAATTGTGCCATCCCTATTGAATAGATGAGATATGTAAGCATTATACTTAAATGATGGACCAAGAAATCACTCAATCTATGAAGAAAGTTAACCTGTATATGAAGGGCATTTTCTCTTCTCCGGAGGTGGTTTGTACTCCAAAGGCGGTCGGGGCTCAAACAGCTTCAGAAGATTAGCCGTCAACCCAGTTGGATGACTTTGACCAATCTGCATATATTACATACATTAACAACGAAATACACAAGCTTGCAGCACCAGCAAGAACAAAGGGAAGGATTGCCAATACTGCAACCGCCTCATAACATAGTTCTCCTATTATTATTTTAAGCTAACTATCTGGCCATGCTGTATATTTAGCTGTCATAAGAAAACGCAAAGAAATATGTATCACATATAATTTCTAGTCTCATCTCAGCAGTCCAGAAATCTCACTAAACTAGAATTAAAACACCTAACCACTACTACTCCATAATGATGACAAATCAGCAAGTTCTAAATCCTCATTAGAACTTTATGGGTTCTAAATTCTAGGATGGTGAAAAGGGTGGCAAACAGACGGGTCGGTCTGATATGGGACTGGTTGAAAATGGGTAATGCAAAAACGAATAAATTATCCAAACCGGCCCATATTTATTAAGAATAAAAAACGGGTTAACCGGCAGATAATATGGATACCCATATTATCCATGGCTTCTTGAATATGATCACTTTCGGAGAATTCCTAGTCTCCCAAACTTGAGAAACTCCCAATTTGAGGCTTTACAAATTTAAAAGCCAAACCCATTGGTTATCCATTTTTAAAAAGTTCATTATCCAACCCATTTTCTAATGGATAATATGGGTAGATAATTGTTTTCTTTTATCCATTTGCCACCACCAGATAGCGACATGAGGTGTTAGTAACTGGTTCTGAATTTAATTTTTGTACATATCTAGTGAATTTCGTAATACAAATACAAGTTTTGGACTAAAGCTACTGCGTTCAGCTGAACCTGTACGCCGGCTTCTAGCTCCTCCCCTGATTATCCATTCCGCTGCCCATCTGTGCCTTTTTTATTCCAGTACTTAAGAACTAGTTTTTTGGAAAAATTAGGGAAAGACTATAAATTCTCTAAACCCCACATCGAAAGACGGACATAATGTGAGCATCCTAACAATAACTAAAACCTGAATCCCAACTAGTTGGTCTAACCTATATGGATACTTTGCTTCAACCGTGTTGTGTTCTTTGCTAAATCTAAAATCATCTAAATTTTTAACCTTTCATCTATAATAAAATCTGGAAACCTAGGCAATCAAGCAATGTTACCACACACACACATACAAACTCTTGGGCTTAAAAAAAATCTAAACCAGGAAACAGCATAGACAACAGATCAAGAGATATAACAAGCAGTTACCAGCTTGAGTTGCATAACATTAGCGCGATTCTGAGCCTTTGCACGGGCCTGGACATTAGGGTTGTTCCGCATGAAGGCATCGTTGAAATCTCCCATATTCGGAACGATTGAAGCCGCCTAGGGTTCTTACTTGATGTGAATCTCCGCACAAGTATGTAGGTTTTATATCCGAAAATGGAGATTACACAAATCGGATGGATTTGATTGGGTTGGAGAATGGAGAAGTTTACTTGAAAGCGGCAGAGAAGCGAATTAGAAACAAGGGTTTATTTCTAGAAGAGAGGAGGCTTATATAAACTCGACCAACGACTCCATCTTTCCTGAGTCGGCCACGAGTTCACTCGCGAGTTCTTTCATTCTTTTTATTTATATTTTATTAATTTTATTAATATATGTTTTATCTTTTTATTTTTATTACATTGAAGGGTGTATTTAAGGGTGGCAAGTGGGCCAGTTAAGCCCGGTCCGGGCCCGCGAGCCCATATGGGTAGTGGGCCTTAACGGGCCTACCCATTTAAGTCCGGAACCAGGGGCTTGAGGCCCAAGTGGGCCGCTTCATTGAAGAAGCCCGTTAGGACCTGGGATCGGGTCCTTAGTGGGCCGGTTCAACCGGTCCTAAACGGGCCCAACGGCTACCTTTTTTTAAAAAAAGTCCAAAATTTTTTAGTCGTTGCAACATTTAAAAAATGGTCGTTGGCCTGCAAAAATAGCCGTTTGGGCTTTCTAAAATAGTCATTTAACACCCCAGCTTTGTTTTAACCCCAAACTTTTTATAATTACACTTTTTCCCTATTTTTCACTATAAATACCCCCTCATTCTTTCATTTTACTCACAAAATCATCAATCTCTCTCATTTCTCAAACTCAAATTGAAGTATTCAAGTCTTCACTCATCTCTCATTTCTCAAACTCAAATTCTTAATTCAAGTTAAATCATGCCCAGTGATTCTAGATTGCGCCCATTTGTTTTGGAACACTTTAATGTGGTAGAAGAAAATGAAGAAGTTTACATAATAGAGTGTAAGGACTGTGGTCGAGTCTACACTCACCGTCCAAAGTTGGAGGGCACAGGCTGTTTAAGGATGCATATAAAGAGTTGTCTTGCGCGTTCTCCAGACATTCGTATTTAAGATTTTAAGTTGATTTGAGACAATTTGTGTTATTTTAAAATTATAGACGTATTATGCTTAATGTTTTAGTTTGTTAGATTAATTTAAAGTTGAAGGCATTGAACTTTAATTTGAAGTATTAAATGTAAACTTTAATTTGCAACTTTGATACCGAGTTCATCTTATATAAGGCAATATACTACATACGGCAATTTCTTGTAAATTATCTAAATTATATATATATATATATATATATATATATATATATATATAATTGCCTTAATTAAAAAAAATTTAAAAAAATTAGGCCAGGCCGTTTGGGCCCGGGCCACTTAGCCCGAAACCATTAGTTCGTGGTCCCGGTTCGGTTACATCCAAAAGCCCACGAAGTCCGGAACCTTTTAAGCCCGGCCCACGAAGTCCGCAACCTTTTAAGCCCGGCCCACGAAGCCCGGGCCCACATAGAACCGGCCCACGAGGCCCGTTTAGGCCCGGGCTCGAACCGTTTGCCACCCTTAGGTGTATTAAAGAAAAGGGGAACATTAGATGAAGAGAAATTTAGGGGTATTAAGGAGAAATCGAAAAAATCAAACCAAAACTGAAAGAAAAATACAACGTTGTTTTAATGTTTGATTTGCTTTTGGTTATTAATTTTAAAAATGATAAAATTTGGTTTGGTTTTAGTTTTATGCAAAAAAAAGATATATATATATATATATATATATATATATATATATATATATATATATATATATATATGACTTAAAATTGACTATATTATGCATATTTAAAAATGATGATCATATACACATACTCGTGTGTTTATATATATTTATATATATAAATAGAAAAATTGCTACCTATATTAATTTTTTGCATGCTTGAATTGAAGCTTTGCTGTTTGTCATTATACTAGTTTTGGTCTTTGTCTTTACAACTTTTTTTGGATGGTCGTTACATATCGTTTCGGAATGTATCATATTATTGTATTGTATTGTACTTTATCATTTTGATGTATGCAATATTTGGATAAATAGTATTTTTTGTCGGCGTTTTATGATTTCATGCACCAATATGAAGAATAAACTTGCAATATTATAAAGAAAAAGTAAGATATGAGATTGAATTATTATATGAAAAGGTACGGTAAAAGATAAAATGTGATTATTTAACAATAAGAAAGGACAAGATGTGAGGAAAAAATAAGAAAACGATGTGAACACACCAAATCGGTTGTTCCATAAAGTGGTTGCATAACGACGAATTTAACGATGCGATGCAATAAAATTTAAGTAACAGTCAAACCAAACATTTATATCTATATTTATTTATCTATCTATATCTATCTACCTATATATATATATATATATATATATATATATATATATATATTATTATAATAAAAGCACGAATATTCCACGCTAAATGTTGAATGACTAAAATATCCTCAAAATATTAATCGACTTTTATACCCTTAAATGTTTATATTATTTCTTAGAAGAACTCACTACGTAAGGACACAATTGAAATAATATACATTAGGATTGAGAATTGTACTAGAATAATAGCCTGTTTGGCCAAGCTTTTTTTGGGGCCAAAAGTGCTTTTTTTGGTCAAAAGCACTTGGGGCCAAAAATTGAGGTGTTTGGCCAAGCTTTTGGAAGGAAAAAAAGTGCTTTTGAGGATAAGCAGAAGCAGTTTTAGAGAAGCAGAAAAAAGTAGCTTCTCTCTAAAAGCACTTTTCTGAGAAGCACTTTTGAGAAAAATACACTTAGAAGCAGTTTTCAAAAGCTTGGCCAAACACTAATTACTGCTCAAAAGTGCTTTTCAAATTAATTAGCCAAACACAAACTACTTCTCACCAAAAACACTTTTCTTAAAAGTACTTTTGCGAGAAGCACTTCTCAAAATAAGCTGATTTTAGAAGCTTGGCCAAACGGGCTATAAGGCATAATGGAAGAAGGCTAGAGACAAGACGTCAGGATTAACTCCAAAACCAAATCAAAGACTATATTAGGTAAAAGACGTGCAAGACTATTTTCCCAAACCTTCTTTTGTACAAGTATTATTATTACAGAGATCTATAACAAATCCAGTATAATTTTACAAGTGCGTCTATAAAATCATTATTATTTCTTTGAGAATCAAGCAGGTGGATATAGGCCTCATTTGTTTGCACTTAATGGAGATCTGAATCTTAATCATTCAGATCTCATACATTAAGTGCATTTAAATTTAAATTCTAAATTTTAACCATTCAGATCTTAATCATTAAAGTGTGTTTGTTTTTTTTACTTTACAACCACTTAATGGGTCTAAATAGGTTTGTATAAGTAAGATTCATAACTAAGACTTAATTTCATTAAGATGCTATCGTCCATATTTATTACTTCCACCACCTAGTATTATCTACTACTATTACCACCAACAACAACGACAATCTTAACCATAGCCGCCACCACTACTATCACCCACCACAGCCACCACCATTATCCCCAACTACAACCACACACTCACTCATCATCAACAACCATAGCCGGCACCACACACCATTATAAACTACCACCACCCACCATCACCTTCCTTAATCACAACCACAACCATCGCCACCACCCACCATTATTAACATTCACCATGCACCATGATGTGTTGCTATAATTCATGGTTTAGCATATTATTCGCCTTGTATTTTATATGCTTTAATGATAAATTACACTTTATTTGCACGTAATAGGGTCCATTTTATGTGTAGGTGAATTGGAGATGAAAGTAGATAAAAAAAGGATACTTACAAGTCGAAAGCGTGCACGGGAGTAGTTGAATAAGAGAAGCTGGCGAAGCCAAGCTTGTAGCTGGTGATATACTTGGCGACGCCAGGCTTGTAGCTGGCGATATACCTGGCGACGCCAGGCTTGTAGCTGGCGAGAGACCTGGTGAGGCAAGGCAGAGGTAAGCTTAACCAGGCGTTATGCCTGGCGACGCCGGGCCTGGGGCGAGGTCCACCAGGCGTTATACCTAGCGACGCCAGGTCTGGGCGTGCACATTCCAAGTTTTGAAGACTTAATTCGTCTCCTAGTTTGACTAGGACTTGACCTACACGTTTAGATCTTTTCCTACACATATAAAAAGACCTAAAAACGCCACTTTGAAGGATATTTGCAACCGAAGTCAAGGATAGCTCGTGGAACAACTGTTGGGAGTTAGAATCATTGATTTTTACATCCCTTTATCCTTACTTTGTAATTCAATTATGCAAAATACTTTGGATATTGTTACTATGAGTATGAGTAGCTAAACTCCTAATTTAGGGTTTTGATGGAACCTATTGGAGGATGACTTTCTTGTTACGTTAATATAGATTTGCCATAGTATTTTTTCTATTTGTTCAACTATATTATTATTGTTGTTGATTGAACGGCCATCAATCGACTGTGCCTATTTAGTGTGCATTACTCAAGAGAGAGTGCATATTTAGATGGTTGTTGAATAACATCACTCCTAACGTATATGAGGGATCAATACGAAGGATTTAAGGTGGGATTAGGGATAACAAAACCTTGGTGCGATCTGAGTGAGCTGTACTTAAGGCCAACTAGCGTAATTCGGGAGAATATGTCTAGTATATTTTGGTAATTACTTGGGAGGGAGTTATGACAGTCAGAGTGCTCATGATCGGTAGAGAAGACTTAGGCAAATTATAGAAAACGTAGCGGAAATGATTCCGACAATAGGGGAAATCATAACCTTAGATCATTCCAAATCTTGTCTACAACCCGTTCGTAGTTAGTTATTATTTATTGCATTTTAATTACGTAATATTTAGGTAGTAAACATCCAATTTGTTACTTTAATATTTATAAAGATTGATTACGTGAATTTGTGCGAGTCTGGTAGCTGTGTTTAATAGGTTAATTCCCTGTGGGATTTGACTCTAGACTTATTAACCGGAATATATTTGCAACGACCGCTTAGTCCTTTTATAAGACATAGTTGGGCATGATCAAATTTTAGCGTTGTTGTCGGGGAATTAATGGTGTTATTAATTGCAGCTAAAAGAAGTACTAGAATTCTTAGTGTAGTCAATTTTCTTCAATTTAAACTAAATACATTGAGATTTTAACGTTTGTAGTCTTTGGTGTTACAGGTGCATGCCTAGAAACTCCTCAAGAACTG